GCTACTCTCAGCTGTGCTTTTGCTTTTGTCCTCCCTCAATTACAAAATTCAAATCAATAAGACTACTCACAAGAATCAAGTGGTAGAATCACACCCTTAATAATTAGCCCTTGTTAACTACCTCAGCATGAGTGTTATCACGCTAACTTGTCACAGAGATGACCAGACCTAAAGACAGAGGAGGTAAGACTCACTTACATAAAGATTTTGAGAATACATGCATAAATTGTGTACATAGGAAAAGATGCTGCAGTAAAAACAAGGCTATTAATTACTTAGTTCTGCGTTAAGTCCTGTACGTGCTAGATTTCAGTAGAAGATGGGTGGAAAAAAAATAAACAACGGACAAGTCATCAGCTTTAGGGGAGCCATAATCATTTGTCCCCCCCCCCCCCAATCGAAAAACATTTGTCAGTCATTACTTACCACCAGACAAGAATAAGGTCTTAGTTAATTTTTACAGCATTATATTCACAGTAAAAAAACCCACACCCATTTCTTTAACTCCCAGTTTTGTTCTCCCTTTGTGTTTCTGTGACAGCCTCCTTTCTGTTAGCCAAACATAGATATCTAATGTAGAAACTGATAACTGCAAAACAAGTGTCCTATTGGCTTTGCCATACTACTACAAGCTTACCAGCAATGAGGGCAATGTCTTTTTACAGAAACTACAACATCAGTCCAGATACAGAGTGGTAGAAACAAGACTGATCCTGCCTCCTGGGAATACAAGCATCTCTAGAACAGAATTACAAGGAAAGGTTAATTAAAGAGCACATTCAAAATAAGACTATAATCTGAGTAGCATATAATAACAGAATAATCGAGAATATAATTATTAAATAGTTCTGTCAGAAATGCCTATTAATCATCTGCAGAACAGGAGAGGCTGATCTTTGAGTAGTATGACATTTTAATTCCTGATTAAATGACTGAAATAATACTAAGAAATCATGAATATGGGCAGATGCTGATTTAGAACAGGAATAGAGCAGTGTGCTTAATCAGAAGCGGCTGTCATTAAGACATTTAGTAAGAAATTACTTCCAAGTTTTCTACTCAGCCTCTACACAGGACTGATGTAATAGAAGTTTGTGCATAGTCTAGTGTTTGGTGGAAGTTTTATACACAAATAAGGGACCTAGAGAGGCTGTGAAGTCTCCACACTTAAGAGTTATACAAAATTCAGCTAGACACATTTATAACTAGGAACAGGTAAAGGTGTCCTTCTACCATACAAATCATACTAATCTGAGAAATTTGATTTTGTTCAGTTAGGTGAAGACAAATTTCTCAAGACAAAAAAGCTAGCAAGAAAGGGTTAAGGGCTCTCAACATCTTTCGGTACTGCTGATACAGATACTATACTTACCCTGTCCATAATACACTGAAGCTGTGTAAGCGTACTAGCATTGCTCTATCGTCAAGCTGGTAAGATTCATCCTGGTTTAGCTGGGGATCAGTGCTGCACTCCTATAGTTACTTGTTTACCATTTCACTTACTGAAATACTGTCTAAAAAGCTCTGAAGAAATACACAACAAAGCCTGAGTGCTGAAAGGCACAGTTTTTATATATAAAGATATTCAGACAGAATATCTTTTTGGGTAGTAGTCCTGAAAACTCTACTGTTCAATCAGCTGTTTAACTTCCCACCCCCACATGCAGTAGGTATTAAAACAAGGAATTAAGTTTTGATATCCAACGGGCCATCTCCAAACACACGTTATCTATATAAACAAAAAATTAGTTATGTCTTAAGAGGCAATTTGTGTTTGCTTCACTAACATATTAAATTTAAGATCTTGAACTAGCAGGAAACTCGATAGGTCTTGCATATACATTCTCACAGAAATATTTTAAAAGAAACTCATCAGAGGCATTTGAGACTACTCTGCAAACCTAGTCCTCCATCCTTGTGTTTGCTTTACAGACCACACACAAATGCAGCGGAAGAAACAACCTAAAATCATTTCTGTGAGTTGAACAGGAATGCTCACATAATCACTGGAAATGCTCTTAATTGGTGTGGCTCAGTGGTGCATTTCAGAGCTGTTAGATCCTCTGCTGCTGTGGAACTCTTTTCATGTCCTGGCAATCACAGTCCAGCCAGCAGTTTGTTTATCATATTCAGTATGAGTTTCCGGATCTCCAGCAAAGTGGTATTTACTCCGAGGCAGGGAAGACTGCAGTAATCCAATAAGTTCTCATTAGCCTAAAATGCAGAAACATCTGCTGGGGTCATGAGCTGCTTACTTGCTGTTGATGAGCAAAGAATCAGCTCCATTTGAAGCTAGTGTGAACAAAGAATTGTAGGGTTGGGGGGGGTGGTGAAGAGACAAACGGGCTGCAGCTCCACTATAGTGCACCACAGGCAAAGAGGGATGCTCCCTTACGTTGACCCCCGGTGACCCCATCGCAGAGAGCACAGGAATTACAGCAAAAAATGCTTTGACTCAGCCCTCCTGAGCTGGTGGTCAAAACAGGCAGGCAACACCAGCGTAACTGAAGAGAACGTGGTCCCCAAGAAATACCAGAATCCAGGCAGGGCAATCTGTGCAGTGCAAACCTAGCTTAAAATTATCTTTGCCAATTGCTTTTTAGACAATTAAGAGAATTTTGCAGGGGACGAGTACTTACATTTCTGTGCTCCCCCCTTTCCCACCCAGGCTCTCAGACCTAGCTGGCTCGTTTCACAATTGCTTTCAGTTTTTGGAAGAGAAATCCCCGCCTCCCGCCCCCGAAAAGCACCTTAGGACACATGGATGTTAACAATTGGTCAGTAAGAACTTCTGGCCTAAAAGATGAATACATAGGTAATAAGTACTGCGCAAGTTCAGATAGAACATAAATCTACATTGATACAAGTTACAGAAGGGAGAACACTATTAATTTTAGGTTAAAAACAAAACAAAAACCAAGAAGAGATTGACAACCTGAATAAAAAGAGCCCTTAAGTTGTTTAGGACTCCAAGCAGATTCAGAGCATGTGACATTGTCAGAAAATAAGTGGAAAATACTAAATAAGTGGTGTCACATCTGTTTAGCTCCTGCTCCAGTGATTCTGCAGTTCTTTGTTGTTGTTGTTTGTACAGTGTTAAAGATGACAGCATCTAATGTGTGTGGCTATTTCAAGGTGGAGGAGCCTAAAACATTTCTGCAAAGAGCCAAAACAGAACCACTTGGAAAGAACATTCAGGAAGATCAAGATGGAAAAGTCTCAGTTCAAAATAGTTTAAAACCCTTTCCTGAAGAGGCTGAGCTGCTTTATCTAACACTTGTTCTACCATTTGTACAAAGAATTACCCAAGTGTTCAATTTAAGGAAAAGAATGGCCAGAATGCTCACATCAATGCCTAGGATTCTTCTGAAACAATGAGTGCACGTCCCCAAGCACTTTAATGTTTTGAACACGCAGTTGGCCTTTAGCTCCAGGACTCCCACTTTGCCTTAGGCTTGTTGTATAGATAATGTCTGCCACCTGCAGCAGCAAGGATGAACTACTTCCCCAAAAGATTTAGAGCCTTTAACTGTGATCACAGCAAGCAGAACCTTTCTCCACCACCCTTCTTCAGGGAAGAAAACTAATAGCATTCCACTCCACTTTATAGTGAAAATTTATATTGCTTGTCTGTTGCTTAAGTAACATTTGGGTGTATATATACACAATAGCATCTCAATGGTAGAAAGTAACTTGACTGAAGAGGATGGGTTTAATTTAAAAGTATTTCTTAAAAAAATGGTTTTTTGTTTTAGACCAGCAATGAGGACTACCATCAAGAAATCCTAGGAAAGACATTCTGACTTGTGTCTGTGCAGACAGAATTATCAAGACACTATAAACTTGATTTTCATTTCATCCTCCCTCTTCTTCAGTAAGAAGACCCCTCTTAACTTTCTGAATCTTGGAATGACACACCATAAAGCAGGTTAAAGGCATGAGGACACACATCCTAGCAATTAGCCAAACTTAGGAAAAACAGTTGTTTGACCAGCAGTTTCATCATATAGGAGCCTTTCTACCGAGATCTCCATCCACCAAAAATAAAGACTAATTTGCAGCTAACCTATGACTTGACTGCTTAGCAAAGTTCCCCATCCAGTGGCCAACTTCGTAGGTGCAGCTCATGTTCCCGGCCTGGAGCACGATCCTGCTGCGTGCAGCACCCATGGACTGAATGGCAGCACACAGAGGTGAACTATTAGGTGCAGTTCATCTAACACGGTTGAGGAGGAAGAAATAACAGACAAATATCTTAAAACAACTCATTGCTCTCCTACTGGCCCGTAGATAAGTTGCTGTGAAAAAAAATGATACTGATATTATATACAAGGACAGTCTTAACAGTTTGTTATATATTGACTTCTCATCCAGTGCACGGCACATCTTCCTGATCCAGTTACTATAGCTTAGTTTAGTCCTAATTTTTAATAAAAGGAGACAAGAATCTAGTTAGACCCTTAGTAATACCAGGAGGAAAGCCTGAATAGCACTTCAAGGAGTGCAAGGAGAATGCTCCAAGTATTTTTTGAGCAGGCCAAAAATCTTTATAGACACAGCTTAAGCCAGAAACGTAAGACTAAGTAGATAATACAAAGCAAAGCTTTTGAAAAAACATCACAGAAAGAGGTTCCACAGGTAAAAAAATACAGGATACAGCATGTCCTTCAGAGAGAAATGCATTCCTTGTACAAAAATGGAAAGTATGTTGTAAAAAACCTGCCACATCTGGTACATATGTTCATAACAGAGCACACTCTTTCTCAGGCACTTAATCAGTAGTTAGGTTTGAGGTTTCTCTCCACATTCACACGCTGCTGGCCTCAGCACTTTGGGTGCCAGCAGGTCATGGCTTGCCATTGGGACTGGTTAGTGCCTATAAGTCCATCACTGCATATATTGTGTATTAGCCCTATGTAAGGCCAGATGGAAACAAAAGCTTCTGTAGGAGATCAGTGAAGATATTCAATCATGAAGGCTATTGGTATAGCAGTGGAAAAGTCTTTATTATTAAAAAGAATAAAGTCCTTAAAGAGAAGGTGTCAGGTTAATACAAAAGCATTAATGATTTTAATAAATTTGTTTCCAAGACAATTAGGCAACAAGTTACCAAAACTTTTCACTTGTTACAAGTGACCGGGCTCCTTCCAAGCATCAGCCTCATTACTTACTACCCATGTAGCTTTTCCTCTCAGCAAATGCAGAAATAAGGGACAACTAAGAGTTCCTCCAGAAGCCGTTCACTAAGTAACCAACGATTATGCTGTACATTCCTACAGATCCTCCTGATGAGATCAGCAAATGCACAGTACCACATACACAATTCCACATCTATATTCTGATATGTTGCCCTCTAAGGAACACTACTTTGGAAGGAGATGCAAATCTCTTGATTTGCAGTTCCAAAAAAGTAAACCAAGAAGTTTAAGAATACATAGGTCATATCTGCTAAGAATAACATTTCTTATTATTTACCTTTCAGTATTGTCAAGGCAGAATGTGGTGAGAAAGGTGTCACAAAAATTCACATTAAAAAAAAGATGTCTCCTTATGGGACAGCACACAGAAGAAAACTCCGTTTCTTATATTAGTAAGCATGCATGCTGCTGGGTTCATATTCTGGTATAACTGGAAATTTGGACAAGTTATATGTTCATACAAGAAGTAAAAAGATAACAAGTCTGCTGGCATTGATTTAGTACCCACCCGTTAGTAAAACAATACACAAACTTAGTTGAAGTACCAGTGTTTCACAACATCTAGTCCATAATTCTCTTCACATATTCTTTGGTTATGCAGAGAAACTTCTTTACTAACTTCAAACGACAGGTTCTGCACTTGTGTGAAGCTCCTGGAACAAATTAAGCAAGCTCAATCAGTTACTCCGGAGGATAACAACTTCTGCTTTACCCCAAAGGCTACGCGCCTGGACATTCACATCATTCTTCTACCATGCAGCCACCAGAAGAAAAAAATGTAAAATGTGAATTTTCTTCCCAAAGGCTAGAATTTGGAGGAGAGGAGGGGGCAGTTTGCATGGAAGGGGAGATGCATGGCTTTATGGTCTATCAATCTTCAAAGATTTTAGCTGTAATCTCGTCTGGGGAAATGAAGGAAGGAAGGAAAGGAAATTTATGATGTTTTATCTCTTCCTCATGCTCTCAGTGATACTTCGTATTTGCTGAGACAATACTCGAGGAAAAAAACCTTTTCTGTGCTCCTTGTACCTCCTAAAGGATGATATATTTGTATAGTTATTATTTAAGACATAGAGCTTCCAGTTCACTTTTCTGTCTCCTGGAGTTCTCCACTCTCCTACATACTTGCACTTTACCAGGGCTACTCTTGCTGACTGAAATTCTCAGCTAAAGTGTCAGCGAATGGCACACTAAAGTAGTTCACTTAGAATACACAAACAAAAAACCCCAAGCATATTTACTCTGACTGTAGGTAGGGACAGAAATAGAGATGTCTGCTACACACAGACTTAAACTTAGTGCTACTATCCCCTCAATTAATCCTCCTCCAATATACAATCTGGATGTATTCTGGCGAGATCTATAGATTTTCCTCTGAATATTTAGCCAACGAGTCTTTTCACCCAATTGTTGTAAATACCTTTGAAGCTCTTTATCCAGTTTCTGAGACACTTCTTTAAGCTCTTTCAGTACACTAAATGCTTTTGCACTTTCTTCCGAGTAGCTTGGCATAACTTCTGCCAGAAGTTCCTGTGTGATAGTTAACTGCTTTCGCAGTTCATCTGCAATATGAGATGTTAAAATATTATTCAAAAATGCATGCAGTGGCATCAGTTAATACAAGATTACTTAATAGCTGGAGTAACCACAGAGGCAGGTGAACTAGATGATGGAAGACTACTGTTTGTTCAGCTTTCACAAACACATCATGAAAGCCAAACTGTGAAAGCCAAATTATTTTTAGCTATAAAGACTAACACCAGCAACAGGCTATTAAAATTGCTAATCAAGCGCTCATTTAGAGTATGTCCAAGATTTTTTACAAGACAAATGCAAGAGAAAAAACAAGTTTTAAACATCAAAAATTCCCTGGCCGGTTACATATATTGCTATTGCCATGTACCCCCAACATGAAACTTATCCACTCCTTTCCTTTAGCATTCACAAACCAAAAATACGTATTTATTTCCTTTCAAGCCTTCTTACAAGAATTCTAAGTTCTTCAATAAACCTTTTCCATTTGTTTTAAAGTGTAAGTAAGATTATTGTAAATGGTTTAAGAATCTTGTTTCTTGCAGACCAGCAGTTTAAAAAGGTAACTTTTTGTCCAGACTTCAATACAAAACACAAGTACTAATTTATTACACAAACATTCTCTGATTCAAGACATCACACAATATATTTAAGCTCTAGTTCTACCAGAAACATGAGCAAGTCTACCCATGTGACTTTATCCCTCAAACACAGAAACAAGAAGAGATCACAGTATTTCTACAACTCTACAGCTTGCTTACCCGTTAGGAACAAGGAAGGAGGAGGAATGCCATGAATACAGTTAAAAGATACAGAAACTTGCTAAAGAAAGTGTACATGAAGACTGCCCTAGTTTAGAAAGTTGTTTTTTTTTTTCCTGCTGCAGGATAAAAAACTTGTTCAAGTGCAGTTTAGTGGTTAAACAGAGACAAGAATTATTCATAGCAAAACATGTGACTAATGTTGCGGCCCAGTGTCCATACAAGCTCTAAGAGCACACAAAATTCCTCCAGTGGCCACAGATAGATCTAGCAATAACAATATAAGAATTTTAGCATACCAATAAAACACTATTTTGGAAAGTAAATTTGATGAATCAAATTTTCATACCAAGGTATGTTAGCATATCTCCTTCTATGTGAATATTCTTTATGGGTAATTCGTGTCTAGTGGCATCCAGGGAAACTGCAAAGCTTTTATATTGCTCTTTAAACTGTTCACAAACAGGAACAAGGGGAGAAAGTACTTCCATCTGAAAAAGACACATGATGAACCAACACTTCTTCAAAAGCAGCCATTTTGTTAGTACAGATCTGGCTGAATACAGAAAAATCATTTATTAAAAAAAAAAAATCCAAGTACCACTCTGAAATGCTCATTGACAGAGGAATTCAAGAAGTTTGTGGTATGATACTCCTATCATGCTTTTTAATAGGTTTTCCTCTACCATCTCAAAATGCCTAGGTCAATACCGGCTTCCTTGTTACTATAGCTCAGAGGTATTAGCAACATAGCAGGCAAAGTGGTTTATATTTGATACTTTGACTGTAGTTAACAGTGTATTCTCCAAAAGACAAAAGCCTTTTTTAGTTTTTGCAATGCATATTTGTTAAAAGCAAACATAGGTTCAGTTTTGAAAATTAATTATTCAAAAATTAATTATTCATTCGAAATTTGCCTTCTTACAACCAGGCCAGAACTATTGCTGTCTAACATATAAAAATAAGACAAATAAAGAACAGATGATGTTCACTTCTCATCTAAGGGTTAGCATCTCAGCTCTAGCCATAACTGTAATTGCATAACTGCAGGATGTTCATGTGGTTTTAAAACACTTGCATCTCCTGTGCATCGACTGTAAACTGCTCTGGCAACGGGTGCACTATTGCTGCCCCTTGCCTAATATCTCTAACTTCTCCTTCCTGCCTATCAACAAGAGACAACCAAAAAAGTGACACGGCATTTGCTTAGGTTACTAGAGAGCATAACATGCCACAACAGGAAGAAGATATTTATTTTAAGATGCATAAAATTGTACCCCAGCAGGCCACAGAAGCAGAGAAATCTTCTCTGGATAAAGGACTGCTTCATAAGTGAGCTTGTTTAAATATGGGAGAAGCATAAATTGTAATAAAGCCTACCTGTTTGTCTAATGCATCATCAAGTTTCTGCTCTCTCTCTTTGAGTAGAATTTCACGCTTCAACTCGCAGAGCTTCTCCTGTTGTCTCTCCTTTTCTTCACACAACATTAGCAAGTTTTTTTCTGCTTTTTTCTCCAGCTTGGCAAGATTTTTTCCTGCCTATTACATCCAAAAAATATTCACAACTAAAGTAATGTGGCATCTAAGTAATTAACATATTCTGAAGAAACAAATGTAAGCCTCAGACCAGGTCAAAGAGCTTCAATTAATGAATCAGAGACCTCGTGCAATAAGCACAATACACTATAGGTAAAGCCCCCCTCCAATCTTCTTCCCCCACCCCTGCTAATGTTTTTTGCAAAGGAAAAATATACATATACAGCACTGAGTGAACAAAGAACAAAGCCACTGCTTCAACCTTGAACTCCAAACGCTCTCACTCACGGTTTTCCCAAAACTTCTGCATACCCCTACCTCATGAGAAACCAGCATGTCCTGGTTTCAGCTGGGACAGAGTTACTTTTCTTCCTAGTAGCTGGTACAGTGCTGTTTTGGATTTAGGATGAGAATAATGTTGATAACACACCGATGGTTTAGTTGTTGCTAGGTAGTGTTTACACTAGTCAAGGACTTTTCAGCTTCCCATGTTCTACCGACTGATTTTCTCACTTTTACTCTTCCGATTCTCTCCCCCATCCCACGGGGGGGGGGGGGGGGGGGGGGGGGGGGGGGGCCGCTGCTCGGGGATGGGCATCGGATCAGTCAGTGGGTGGTAAAAAATTGCACTGTGCATCACTTGCTTTGTGTATTATTATTATTATTACTACATTATTATTTTATTTCAATTATTAAACTGTTTTTATCTCAATCCATGAGTTTTTCTCACTTGTGCTCTTCCAATTTTAGAGTGAGCGAGTGGCGGTGTAGTGCTCAGTTGCCGGCTGAGGTTAAACACGACACAGCACCAGCAAAGCAAGTCATACAGTTTTACAACCCTAAACATATAAAGTCACAAAAATCTAACTTTTACAGATCAGAAAGCATAGACAAGAAATCAAACAATTTCTCAATATCAAGTTCTTCTATCTGAAACACCAAATACTTGACTGACTCTCACCTTTACTCTTAGGTAAGTTAAAAGCAGTGTCTGAGATTCCAGCTCTTCCATCAGAGCATCAGAATCATTTCCCTTCAGAAAAGAAAAGAATATACTAGATCAGTTTTGGTATTTAAACAATTATTTTTTCAATGTTCAAATTCATGGAAGTCAAATTCGTGCCCGGAATCATCATCAACAACAGTCAGCTCAATGAAAAAAGTTTGGGTTTTTAAACAATGCATGTTAATTAAATATACCCTTTTGTTCTTTGTCCCACCACTTTTTATAACATTTTCAGCAGATTTTCCTAATACTGGTAGAGAACTTGAAATTTCAGTGCTATGATGAATGAGATTCCTAAATAAGGCACTTCAAATTAGGTTGAAGCAATATTAGTTTTCTGAGCAAAAACGTCAGAAAATATTTAAAGATAATGTGATATAATTAAAAAGTATGGACAGCAATACAAAAAGAATCATCTTGAGGATATGCTACAATTGGAGCAGATTCTTTACCACAAGAAATGGAAGCAAAGTTTCGTTCAGTGTTGAGACATCCAATAAACAAAACAAACATCGCTAGCAGTAGAACAGACTTATCCTCTGACTTCTGCCAGAAGGCTTTAGATCATCCCAGAACCTCAAAGTTGTTATCAAGATTAAAGACAAACAGAAAATCTTCATTTCACACATTTCAAAATCAATATGCTTAACAAATGAAAGCAGTGAGACTCACCGCTTTTTTGGTTTTTCGACGTGTCCCTGTATCTCCTTTGCAAGCAGAGTTTGAACTAGGAGTCTTTTTACGGACAGTTTTATCTGTATCACAACAGAAAAGTTATTTCTCTATTCTACCAAAGTATATAGGGTGGGTCAACATACCATCAGGTTCTTCAAAGGCAAAGATAATTTCAAAATTATTATATGTACCAGTGAAGAAGACTTGTGCTCTATTTCTGGCTCTGATGATACTCACGAGAAGTGAGTGGATGTGGATCACATGAGCATTTAGCTTCAAGTGACAGTTACATATAGATATGATACAATTTTCAGAAAGGCTGATAATCTAACACCCATCTGTTATAGGAACAAAGACTTGAGCATACTTTGTTCTTTAATATTTGATCGTAAACAAAAAGAACAACCCAAAAGATACTAAAAATCAAGAGGTTAATTTAAACACTGAAGGTCTCAATACCTCTGCTTAAAGACACTTGAAATAACGTTCACTTTATTTAACAAAATCCTTTTGTGAATATGGTAGAATACAAGGGTTACTTATCACCAAGTTACAACACAGATGTTAAAAACAATAAACCAAGAAATTGAGTATGAGTGGAAGCTTACCATTAATAGCTGAAAGATCAAGGTCCGGTCGACTAATTTTATCTTCATCTAATAAAGTGGACTGCAAGTCACCTTTCTCAAAACTACTCTGATTTAATGAGCTAGGGACAACACCTGTAGAAAGAAGCTGTTATCAAACTAAAAGAATTAGAACAGATTCTACACAAGTTCACTATTATATATGCTTTCACTAATACGTGGCAACCTTACGCAGACTTTTACGCACTTACTTTATATACCAGTATACCATTTGTATACTCCCTAACTTACCTAGAGACAAGGTAGTTCAGAATGTTATCCTCTTAAACATTTCACAGTTCAACAACACTCATATGACAAGGGAATAATGTTATATCCTCAGGATTTTCAAGTCAAGTTAAGGTCTTACCGGAAAATTCTTTTGCAATTCTTGCAAAACAAATAAAAATGGACTGTTTTGCAGACAGGGATTTTCAGTCATTTACACTGGGTTTATTAAAAAGATTAAATAAAAAAAGCAGGGCAATGGTGAGGGCATAGTAAAAGAGTAGTTCAAAGCCTTGTGCAGAAGGCAAGAGATATGCTTATTTTAGACAATCCAATTACTCAACTCCAGATTAGTTCTCTATCAGAATGTCCAGACAAGTTTAATGCACTTCAGTTTACACCTCTCAATCCCACATCAAGTTTCTTAATTCCCTTTGTATACAGATAGTAACTGGCAGCGATTTAAGTAATACAAAATATCACCTCTTAACAACGCTTTAGAGTTGTTAAGAGTTCTACAGGTTGGAAATAACAAATTCACAAAAGAAGAGCTTTTAAATTCTGGTAAAACCTACCAGCAGAAGTTTTACATTTCTGAGGAAGAACTGATCTTGGTTTAGTTGCAGAAGATGGTTTAGCAGCAGACGTTGAAAAGGAATTTGCTGAAGTATCCTGACAATCAAGAAACAGAAAAGACTGAACATAAGCAGTAATTGTGATCAGCAATATATCTCACCCCCAACTTGAATGCCGACAATAAACAACTACAATCCCAGGGCATCTTGGTGCTTTGCAAGTCACCTGAGTACAGTCCCAAGCTCCCATCCCAGTCTGCCTCTAGTAATACACCACGACTCCCCCATAACCCCAGCAGTCATTTTTTGCTTAGGTCCTGTTTCCACAAGTCCGAGCCGCCCCTCACACCATTTCTATCCTTTGCTGAGCGACCCTTGAGCCCGGCAGCGAGGCGTCCAAGTACCTTCTTGGCGTCTTTCATATCGTACTGCAGGTACCGAGACTTCACGATTCTTCCTCCTGAAGAAGGGGCAAAGAGAGCTCAGCCAGGCCCGCCGCCGCGCTTCCCGCCTCAGCGACCGCGCTCCCCGCCGCAGCGCCCCGCCGCGCCTCAGTCGGAGCGGGCTCCCCCCTCACCCCACGGCTACCTTTCCGCTTATTCTTAGACACTTCTCCGCCCGCCACCGTAATACTGGAGTCGCTCGCCAGCGCGGACATCCTGCAAAGACAGAGCGGGAGATGACAACGGCACCGGGCGACAAGTGAGGAGACGGGCGGCGAGACGCTCCCCCTCTCACTCTCTCCCGCCGCCTCAGCCGCCATCCCGTTTCGA